GCATATTATTAAATCTTCCTTACTTGTACACTTATCCACAGAAACTTTGCTAATATATTATGAAGAATTAAAACTGAACTACACTTGTCAACGTAAGAATATAAGAACCGCCATACTGGGTCAGACCAAAGGTCCATCTAGCCCAGTATCCTGTCTTCCAACAGTGGCCAATGCCAGGTGCCCCAGAGGGAATGAACAGAACAGGCAATCCTCAAGTGATCCATCCCCTGTCACCCATTCCTAGCCTCTGGCAAACAGAGGCTAGGGGCACCACATAAGTGAACAAGGTACATTCGGTAATGTATTAGCTTTCATTTTTAAAAATTCATGTTTGTTAAAATGCTTGTTCACAAACCCTTAATGGGTCTCCACTCATGCCAGGTAGTGAGGTTCTAACTTTTTGTTATTAGTGGGAAGGGAAAATTGCTGCTATAGCAAACGTGATTTTTTGTATGCCATTGTATCTGTATATTGGTTCATATGCTATCTATTTTATTTAGTAGAAACCATCACAGTGAGTAAAAAACTACAGCACATACATCTTACCATTTCCATTTCCTTCCAAAGTGGGATTAATTAAAAAGTCAGCTTTTAACTTTTGATTTATTTTTCTAAAGTCAGAAGTTCCTGCCCAGCTTATTGCATTACAATAAGTGTGAAACTGTCACACCGTCTCCACATTCTGTGTGGGCTTAGGGTTGCCACCTGTCTGGATTTTACCCAGACAGTCCAGTTTTTGGCTTCTGTGTCTAGGTGCCATTTAGGGTTCCAGGTGTCCAGTTTTCAATGGGAAAGTCTGGGCAAAAATGGCACACAAACCAAAATGGCATCCAAACCAAAAGTCTGGTTACGGTGGGGCCAGGGAAGGTGTCAGGTCATTAACCTATACCAGCCTCTGCTTAGCCAGGGCCACCTCGTACCTGCAGGCAAGCTCCTTGAGACACCAGCGAGTAATGGGGGGTGGGAGGGAGAGCAGCAAGTGATGAGGGGAGAGCCTTGGGGGGGGGGAGACAGAGCAGGGGCAGGGTCTTGGGGGAAGAGGCAGAAAAAGGGGCAAGGCCTGTGGGAAGAGCCAGAGAAGGGGTGGGGCCTCGAGGGAAGAGGTGGAGCAGGGATGGAGAAGAGGCAAGGCTGGGGGCAGGGCCTCAGGGCTAGTTACCAGCAATTAGAAAGGTGGCAACCCTATGTGGGCTACCTACATCCAGCTATCCACAACACCCCCTCCTGTGCTGGTGCATGGGGAATGGGCAGACAGGGGTAGGAACTCTGCCCTGCCAATGTTCTAGCCAGCACAGCCAGCTGGCATAAAGGGGAAAGTAATCTGTGCCAGATACAGGGCTGATGCAAATGATTCCCCACCCTGGGAAGAGGGGAAACCATGAACCAGCTTGTTCCTCTCTGAGTCACAATATGGTCCTTGAACTGTTCCTGGGTAATACAACTATTCAGAGAACATAGGAACTTCCAAACTGGATCAGACCTAAGATCCATCTAGTCCAGCAACCTGTCTCAGAAAGTGGTTACTACTAGATGCCTCAGAGGAAGGTATGGGAATCCCACAGAAGACAGATGTGGAATAACCTGCTCCCCACATAGGTCTTATGCTGGTATCTAATAGTTATTGACTGGTTTAAGCCCTGAAGCACTAGGCTTAATATCCCTTTCAAAAACTGTGTTGACATTAAGTATGATAATATTTTTATACTATATAAATGTCCAAACCCTTTTGGAATCTTGTGTGGAAAAGGATTTCTTGTATTGGTTTACAATTTCCCACCTTTTAATTTCACTGAGTGTCTCCTGAGGGCTTGTGGCCCTCAGTGCTTTGGGCTTGTTCAAACAACGGTAGTAGTTAACATTAGGAAAGAAGACAGAATTGAAGGCTGCCTAAGCAGAGTAGCATTGAGAAAGATACAATGCTATACAAAGCTGTGGTTAATTCAGAAGTCATTTTAGCAATCGGGTAAACATAACAAGGAAAAATACAAAATACATTTTATGTGGGTGTACTTAGAAAAATACTCCAGGCTAGGTGTAAAATACTTAAGAATATGAGGAAATTCAGAAGCCTCCTCACCTACATACAAACATGAACATCATGATTGCCAAGGTTATTACTTTTAGAAATACCATTCCAAAATCACCTCCTGGTAACAACAGAGTGGTTAACTGAAACACTGATAGGCTGACTTCTGTGCCATCAATTTAGGAAGCAGTACTTCCTAGACTAAATCAAAAGTACAGAATCTTCACTTGACTTGGGGTCCTGTGAAGAAATCCATTTATTATGCATTATTATTAATAATATTTGGCTACCAGTATTTTTTCATTCCATCCCATTTTCATTCAATATTGTCTTAGTCACTTTTATTCAATAAGCACCAAGATCCTGCATTTGATGCATTGCACATAATTTGGTTGGGGTCAATCAACAAAACAGATTTGTAGTATTGAGCCTTGTTGTTCCTCCATCAATGTGCTCTGTTCTGTTCTAATTCAATCCATGTCATTTGGAAGAAGAACAGGACCCAAAAAGAACCAAAGGAAAATCCTCATCTGATGTAAACTGTCAAAGCTTCAATGATTTCACTGGAGCTATAATAATATACACTCACAGAGGATCTTTTCCCAAATCTTTTGACATTCATTTGCTCACTCATTCATGCATTTTATTAAGGATATATTAAGCACTATAACTTTCAGTCAGTCTGTTCCCAGATTCCAAAATATCAAGAGTTCTATATACAATACCTGTTCCTGCTTCCACTGACTTTAGTAGGAGCAGAATTATTAATTAATCATATTGTCATTTGAACGCTGAAGCCTGGCCTACAACATTTGAGGATAATTGCATAGGAGTCACATGACAATTGCAACAGCCTTTAGAAGCTGTTAATTGCTCAAAACTCTATATTTACTAAAAAGATATCTGAGATCCAGTTTAGTATTGAAAAAATCACCAGGTGGTGCTGTTACACAACCTCACAAATTATTTTATATAACATTGGACCATGTTATATAATTCTGTTATATAATTATACATTGGCAGGGAGGGCTAGCTCAGTGGTTTGCACATTGGCTTGCTAAACCCAGCATTGTGAGTTCAGTCCTTGAGGGGGCCATCTGGGGCAAAAATCACTACTTGGTTCTGTTAGTAAAGGCAGGGGGCTGGACTCAGTGACCTTTCAAGGTCCCTTCCAGTTCTATGAGATAGGTATATCTCCATATATTAGCATGGTTCAGTCTTTGAAGAAATGTTTTTATTGTGTTACTTTAGTGATGTAGTTTCTTTATGCGGGATCTGTGGTGAATGGCAAGGAAATTTTCTTTCTCCCTTAATCTCTCTAATCAGGATCAATTCTTGAGGCACAGTTGCTCCCTGGAAACAAGGAATTGGTTTTTGTCCTAAGAGTCCTAAAAGAGGAGATTATATGCATGCTGTTTGTCCACCTCCATTCCAAGACAGGTGTAGCTAGTGTTAAATATATAAGCTGAACTAAGAATATATGTCACTGATTTGTTTTCCAACCGGAAGTTGACCTACAAGGCTCTAGAATATGTTACCACTAGGCAGAGGGGCTACAGAGGGGCCTGACCCTGCAAGGTGCTGAGCAGTTTCAAACCCATTGACTTCAATATGAGTTGAGGATACGTACCACCTCTCTGGATCACGCCCGCATTCATGTTTCTACAAGAACGGGGCAAATTTTACTTTACTTTACATGGGACACAGATATTATAAGTAGGATTAATAAACGCAGCATCCTAGAAGCATTCCATAACTGTAAACTAGGGATCGGCAACCTTTGGCACGCGGCCCATTGGGGAAATCTGCTGGCGGGCCAGGCCAGTTTGTTTACCTGCAGCGTCTGCAGCTCCCACTTGCCGCAGTTCACCACTCCAGGCCAATGGGAGCTGCGGGAAGCGGCGCAGGCCAAGGGATGTGCTGGCCGCTGCTTCCCGCAGCCCCCATTGGCCTGGAATAGTGAACCACGGCCAGTGGGAGCTGTGATCGGCCAAATCTGTGGACGCTGCAGGTAAACAAACCGTCCCAGCCTGCCAGCAGATTTCCCTGACGGGCCGCATGCCAAAGGTTGCCGATCCCTGCTCTAAACACTAAACACATTCTTATAATACTAATATCTACTTTAACTAACCCACAGGTGAGCCAGACTGGTTTCCAGCTGTTCATTTGTCAGTGTTCAGCGAGGCCCTGGGCCTTGACATGAGCTAGCACAGGGATTGGCAATCTCTGGCACGTAGCTCGCCAGGGTAAGCCCCCTGGTGGGCCAGGCCACTTTGTTTACCTGCCACTTCCACAGGTTCGGCCGATCGCGGCTCCCACTGGCCACGGTTCACCGCTCCAGGCCAATGGGGACTGCGGGAAGGGCAGCCAGCACATCCCTCGGCCCGCGCCACTTCCCGCAGCCCCCATTGACCTGGAATGGCGAACCGCGGCCAGTGGGAGCTGCGATCGGCTGAACCGGCAGATGCGGCAGGTAAACAAACTGGCCCGGCCCACCAGGGTGCTTACCCTGGTAAGCCGCATGCCAGAGGTTGCCGACCCCTGAGCTAGCACCTTGTCTGCCACTGTCACACCTCCCTCTAAAAATGTTAACTATTAACCCGATTGAAAGGGCCTGAATAAAGGGAAGGGGAGAGGTGGAGTGGAGAAGGAGGAGGAGGTGGAGAAGATAATAAATGGATCACAAATGGGCATACTAAAACATCTTTGGAGGAAAAAGCTTTAAGCCTATTTAAGATACAGCATCCATTCTTGGTGATGTATGCTCAGGTGGTTGGATCTTGCATCTTGCTATTGCAACTATAAACAAAACTCATTAAGCACTTTAGAAAATAGCTAAAAACTATTCTTTGGTCCAAAGGGCAGAGTGAATATGATTTAATGTGGTGGGAATGAACAAATTAAAAGTTTTATCATGTGTTAGATTAACTTGCTCTTAAAAAAAAATTCACCAAAACATACATTTTTTAACCAGGTCTAATCTCTACCATCTCAAGATTCTTCTTTTGTGGGAAAAGGTACCTGAAGCTTTTCCATTTGTCCCAGCCCAGAAGAAACCACTGAATCTATCTCACTATCATGGGAAAACTGCCAAACAGCACCATAGAGATGCTTAAGAACCAAATGCTGCAGACCACTTTGCCTGCCCTCTACTTGTTCATCTTCACCATCAGCATTCCCCTCAATTCTATCTCTTTGTGGTTCCTTTGCCGTCACTCAAGGCCTTGGACTCCCACCATTGTGTTTTCAATTAACCTGACAATCACGGACTTGCTCTACAGCATGCTCCTCCCTTTTCAAGTTGTCTACCACTTACGGGGAAATGACTGGCCCTTTGGACAGGTTCTGTGCCGCATCATAACGGTGCTATTCTATGCAAACATGCACTGTTCTGTTTTAACCATGACGAGCATCTGCATAGAGCGCTACCTGAGAATTGTTCACCCGCTGAAGCACAGGACCATAAGACCCATTAGAACAGCTCTCCTGACATGCATCATCATTTGGATATTTGTTTTACTGCTACACTTCCCACTCATGAAGACAGACCTAACCTTCCATGTAGAGGAGCTGCAGATAACCACTTGTTTTGATATATTGCCCAAAGCTATGTTTCCTTCAAGAAATCATTTCATTGCCTATTTTGGCTCTCAAGTTCTTCTGTGCTTTCTCCTACCTTTGCTAATAATGGCATTCTGCTACACCTTAGTCATTCGGACTCTTCTCAATTCCCCTCCCACACAACTAAGGGAAATTAAGAAGCAGACAATGTATTTGATAATAGTGTTGCTTATAGTCTTTGTAGTATGTTACGTGCCCAATATTGTGATATCAATCATCCATTTTGTCTATAGTACCCAAAATAAGACTGCTTATGTGGAATATAAGCTGTCTCTGGCTTTGAATAGCCTTAATTGCTGCTTCGATCCACTTGTTTATTATTTTGGTTCCAAAGAGTTTCGACAAAAGATACAGAAGAAGCTCTGCAAATGCATGCTTGATATATTCAGTGAAACGGTCAACACCTTTTCGGAACAAGATGTGCCAATAACATGCAGAGAACACGCGCCAAATAATTAAAAAATGTATTTGATCTGGAACAGATTATATTAGTCATTGCACCGAATCATCATCCAGAGATTTTAGAAGTTGTTCTATTTTAAAACATAGACTGTCAAGAGATACAGAAAAGTACACCAGGCAATATATTGCCACAACTTATTCTGGAAACAAACCAGGTACTCAGGAAGGCTCAACGTCCATGGAAAAAGGCACATCTCTTAACTTGCCAAGAACAATGCATTATGGGACATAAATTACTATAAATTAGCAACACAAGAAATGTGTCAGTGCCAGGCAGGGGCGGCTCCAGGCACCAGCGCAGCAAGCGCGTGCCTGGGGCAGCAAGACACAGGGGGCGGCCTGCCGGTCACTGTGAGGGCGGCAGGCAGGCGGCTTTCAGCGGCGCACCTGCCGGAGGTCCGCCGGTCCCACGGCTTTGGCGACAATTCGGTGGCAGGGACGCCGATGGTGCGGCACCGGCGGACCTCCCGCAGGCGCGCCGCTGAATCCACATGACCAGCGGACCGCCTGCAGGCGCGCCGCTGAAAGCTACCTGCCTGCCATGCTTGGGGCGGCAAAAAACATAGGGCTGCCCCTGGTGCCAGGTACCTGCATTCCCTTGGAATGTGTTTCTGGAACATTTTCTAAAACCTGTTTCCCAGTTCAGCATTTCTAAAATAAATAATTGACAGCAATAAAATAAATACCACGTTTGTGAGGGGCAGAGGAATAGCTGAGCCTAAAATGATTCACATCCCTTGACTTAGGAGTAAGCAAAGACTGGTGATTAGCATCTGTAATGGGGAAAAGCCAAAAGACATGCAGACAAGGTTTAATCTGGTCATGCAAATTTTATTTCCTCCTTATCAGTATTTACTTGACTGGCATATTCAGTCTGAAAGCATAAAGTTTATGCTCCTTTTTCACTGACACTGCTTTGACAGGCCATTTATAGACAAGGCCCGTTTTACTATGCAATGTATTATACCTCACTTATGTGGCAAGACCCAGCAAAGAAGAGAACCCACCAGCAGCAGCCTACTGGTCCAAACCTTTCTGGTTTCAGAGACTGGTCTAGTGCAGCCTAACCCAAACCCATGGTGCTCATGGATTGGCTCTAAGGGTATGTCTACACTGCAGTTAGACCCCTGTGACTGGCCTATGCCAGCTGATTCAGGTTCACTGGGCTCAGGCTAAGGGGCTATTTAATTGTGGTATAGACATTCCGGCTCAGGTTGCAACCCAGACTCCAGGACCCTGTGAGGTTGGATGGTCCCAGAGCGTGGGCTGCAGCTTGAGCCTGAACATCACCACCACATTTAAACTGCCCCCTTAGTCTGAGCCCCGTAGCCTGAGTAACAGGCCAACTGTGGATTTTTAATTGCAGTGTAGTCATATCCTAAATTCCCCCTCCCTTGGTGTTATGCTGCAGAAACAACAGCAGCTCAGGGTCGGTGTGGGGAAGGTCTCTTGTCAGGCAGAGCTTGGTCTCAGGGGAGTTCTGAGCAGTGGTCTGCAGCTGAAGTGCTGTTAAAATTCAAAGGAAGCAGATTTGCAAGTGCAACTTCTCTCCTTAGAAGCTCTGCAGCTGAGGAAGGCACCTGTCATGCAGGGTTCCCGAACTCTTCCTATGCAGCCTGTCTGCCCTGAAAGGTTGAGTGCCTCCTGCTCCTACCACTTCTCCATATATTTTATTTTATCTCCTCAGCTATTTTCTGCCCCTCCCCCCCACTATTCCATCAGGCTCACTGGCTGTCCATATAAATTGTACAAAAAGGAAATTATGCAGCAGGGTAGTCCTGTAGGCTAATGCACTGTCCCATGCACCAAAGAATACTTTCCATTCACAGGATTTTGGTCCTTTTTTCTCCTGGGGTATGGTTTTATTTCTTCAAAAATAAAGCTGTTTAACAAACATTCAACATATCAGTTGTGTCTTTTCCCTGTCCCAGTGTCCTCTTCAGAAGCCTATCTGTTCCCCTCAGCTCTTATGCTCATTCCTAGCCTGATTCCTGCAGAATTACACTCCACAGGCCATCAACTTGGAAGCTGCATATGAACTAGGTTCTCACTGATTAGACATCCAACTATCTGATTGGTAAGTGCACATTTAGAATTTTGCATGTACACTTGCGCACACAAGCTTATAGATCCAAACACATTTCGAGACTGAGAGCCAAGTGTTGCTCTCATTTACATTGCAGTAAATATGGAATAATTCCACAAACTTCAAAGGTATTATTCTAGTTTTACACCAGCATAACCAAGAGCAGAATTCAGCCACAGGTTGAGACCCCTTTGACATCAAATCCAGTTACTTTATGATCTCAGGGAATAGTTATAAGAAAAGGAACTGTAGCCTAGTGTTTAGAGTATGCAACTGGGAACAAGGATTCTAATCCAAGTGCATTGATATTATCAGGCAAATCACCTAACCTCTCTGACTCAATTTCTCCGTCAGTAAAATGAGGATAATAAATTTTCTGTACCCAGGAAGGGTGTTGAGAAGGTTAATCAATAAATGTGTTTTTCAGCACTTTGAAAAAAAAATCAAAAGCTTTATTGTATATATGTGCTAAAATGTGTATTAACATTCTGTACATTTTTTTTTAACAAAACCACTTGCAATTTAACTGTGCTAATGACACCTTTAAGAGATGGAGCACGATAGCCTGAGACTGGGTGGGGTACTTCCTTCCTGACACACTTTCTCAATAAATGAGTAGTAAGAAACAAGTAGGTCATTTATTGAAAAGGGGGAGGGGAAAACCTTTTCAAAAGAAATGTATAAAATCTGACACCCAAGCTATGTCCTCGAGTCACAACATTTGATCAGTCTGTGGATGATCAGAAGTAATCAGATACTACAACAAGGAGCATCACAGATTTAAAAATAGCTAGGGCTGCGTACAACTGAATGGTTGTGGTCAGATATACAAGGAGCGGGTATGACATGAAAGTGCGAAAGCTGTGAATCCCAACACCACTGCCTTTGCCGAGCTCAGGTGCTTGTCAGAGACAAGGCAGCCAGTTTGAGTCACAAGCCATTGAGCCTGGGGAACCTGCCTGGTTTTCATTGAAAGTTCTGACAGAATTGACACATTCCCATGAAATATTTCAATTCCCTCAAATCGTCATTTTCCAATAGAAAACTTTCATTGGAAAAATGTTAACCAGCTGTACTTCATATTAGATAGCACTTCACATTGCCTTCATTTGCCGCTGTGAGCACTCAGACGTTCAGCAAATCGGATCCCAGGTGTCTGAAGAAAATGAGGAATATGATTAGTGGCCATCTGTGAAAAGTCCGGTCCTTGGATTACTGCTGCAGAGACACCTTATCACAAGCACACGTGAGAGCACGTGCTCCTTCGGACTCTTCCCCACCACTCCGTTTGCATTGGGTTGGTGAGCCTCCTCCTCCTTGTCCATTCCCCTCCTGTATGCATGGTCACCCTTCCCCTTGCAGTTCGCTGCTCCCTGCCCATCCGGCGTGGTCCTCCTCTCCTAGCATTTTGCTGCCCCACCCCTCAGTTTCATTACCTGCCTTTTCTGCCCTGCCCAGAGCTCCTCCTCACTTTGCTGTTTGATAAATTCACCGCCCTGCCCCCCCCCCCCACACACTGTTTGGTACTCTCCTTCCCTGCCCAGCCCAGGTCTCCCCCTTCCCTGTTTTTTTCCTGTCTAGGCCCCTGCTTATTACTGTTTGTTCCCTGCATCCATTGCCCCACTCATTCCAGGCACCTGCACATTCACAACACTTGTGATTCCCTCCCTCCACTGCACCCTCTCACACCTACATCTGCCCCTCACTCCCAGAGCAGCTGGTATTCCCAAAACTGCCTTCTATGACCCCTATCTTCTTTGTTTGTTTAATTCACCCCCTCCCACTCCTCATTTTCTGATTACACCCTCTCCCACACACATGTAGGCTAATGGGTAGGAGGAGTCACCCTCCATTTTCCCTACCCCTACCTTTCCCTTTATCATTTCTAGCCTCCCCTCAGGTATCTGTCCCATCACCTGCCCTCAATGGCAGAGCCCAACTTGGCCACACACAACGCTTCTGCTCTTGCAGCTTCATCCGTGGATGGAAGGTGGCAGACCAAGGGAGAGGAACCTTTGTTGCCCCACCTCAGTTTTCTTCCCCAACCCCACTTCTGGCACCAACAGCACCCCTACTGGTGCGGCAGCAGGCACAGGCAGGGACTTCACTGCCAAGCACCTACCACCACCACCACCACAGAAACCCCCTTTGGTTGGCAAAAAGAGCCCAGGGTAGGAAAAAGGGCAAGACACCCATGTAGAAGGCTCTTTCCATGGTGGCAGCTATCACTGGCATGGCCCAGCCATCAGCCATGGCTCCCCCTGCCCTCCCTTCCACCAGCTCCAAGGACGCTCACTCCTCAGCCCCCAAAGCATAAGCCCAGGTGGCTGCGACCCCACCTGCCGCCCCGTCATCATCTGTCACACCCCTCTGCCCACTTCCCCACTGTGGAATTGGCTCAATCTAGCGGCCAGGGTGTCTGACCAGTTGTGGAGGTGGACGGGGCTGCTATAGCCCCTTTCCCCATGGGTAGGGTGACCAGATGTCCTGATAAAATAGGGACTGTCCCGATACTTAGGCGTTTGTCCCGCGTCCCGACCTATGTTTGGCTGGGATGCAGTTTGTCCTGATATTTTGCACTTCTGTTTTTTTTGGCGGGTTTTTTTTCGCACCACCAGCAGGACTCTGCTTTTTTTTCCCCCCCTCTCTCCTCCCCCCCATGTGTCCCGATGTTTTCTTCATCCCATCTGGTCACCCTACCCATGGGGGAGGGTGTTGATTATCAACCAACTAATCCTGTCTGTGTTCTGGCACCAGTTCAACCTCCTGAGCTCTCCCCCAGGGACCTTGGCCAGCCTCCTGTGCCTTCCCCTGGGGGACAGTGAACAGGTCTAGTATGCATCCAGAGCCAGGCCCCTGCCTTCCAACTTCAGGCCCTGCAGAAACTCCTTCACAGTGTAGGTAGTCTGCTATGGAGCATGCTGGCACATGCCTTCCTCTGCCGGGACTCATACAACTGGCAGCTCTTTTACCTGCATCGAAGAGGTCTCTCATGAGACCCCTCTGTGCTGCTGGTCTTTTACCAGGACTTATTCAGAACCCAGAATCTAGTTTCAGTAAACAGGTCTGTAGTGGCCCCCAATGGGGAGGCCCTCCTGACAGAACCCTCATACTTAATTCACATCTTTATGTGCAGGTGATAGAGTTCCTCTTGGTGCACTGGAGGAGGGTCCTGGCTGGTGCCACAAGAACTGGAGACCTCCTGGACTGTGATCAGAGTGATTGGGTGGACTCTGCAATGCTCAGCTAGCTCATGGGGCTGCCCACCCTGTGTGTTCCCTGTCACGCGCTCCAGGAGGTGAAGGCATTGCCTCCTGCTTCTTTCACTTGCCTCCTGCTTCTCCCACTTTTCTTGAGCAGGTCCCTCACCTTGGCCCATAGGCACCGACTCCATGGGTGCTCTGGGGCTGGAGCACCCACAGGGAAAAATTGGTGAGTGCTTAACACCCAATGGCAGCTCCCTACCCCCCTGCCCAGCTCACCTCTGCCACCACTCCACCTCCGCCTCCTCCCCTAAGCCTGCCACATGCCCGCTTTCCCCCCCTAGTTCCCAGCTCTTGCACCACGAAACAGCTATTTCGTGTGGTTGGGAGGGAGGGGGAAGGAAGGGGAAAGGAAGGGGAAGAGGCGGGGCCAGGGCAGGGATTTGGGGAAAGGGTCCAATAGGGGCAGGGAGGGGGCGGAGACTTTGGGGAATGGGTTGGAATGGGGCGGAGCGGGGGCGGGGAAAGGGTGGAGTCGGGGCGGGGGGGGACGAGCACCCACTGGTGCCGGGGAAAGTTGGCGCCTATGCCTGGCCCCCATCATCAGGCTCCTACCCCACAAGCCTCCCTGGCCACCCCAACATGCCACCTGGGCCAACTGCATGATATCCAGCCCAGTCCGCCTCTGAACCAGGATCAAAGAACATCATATCCACTTCCATGCCCTCATGTCCCACCCTGATACCATGTGGCGGGACCTGTTGCCACCTGCAGAGCCTGAGGAACCCCAGTGAGACAGTCTGTACTCTTGTTCCAGGGATATTAGTTGGCAGTTCCTCCAGGGAGCCATGAGCACAGGTTTGTATCTGGTTTGGTTCACAAACTTCACCAACACTTCTGCGGCAAGAGGAAAGCCCTGCTTCACCCTACATAGATGTGCACCAGGTTGCAATGGCTCTTCCAGTTCCTCCCGAACCTCTTATTGAGGTTCTGGCTGCATTTCTCCCCCTGCTTCCTGATCGATGCACATCCCATCACTGGCCCCACAAAGTGATGGGACCTCCTCCTGGCACCAGCCAAGATGGCTATCCATCACTCCAGGAGGAGGAAGCTGGAGGAGGAGGTTACTCACCTATTTCTCATCCCTTATCCAATCATGCTTCCAGGCAGAGTTCCTCTGAGCAGTGTTCACTGCCTTTTAGGAGCAGGGGCACTGTGCAGGTTTTCTGCTCAGTGTCCCTTTCTGGCTCCCTCATTTTTAACCTTTGACCTCTCTCCCATTCCTGTTTTCTCCTTCATTGTCCCACATACTCAGCTGTGGCCTGGGCTTAGTGGTTTCTCCCCCTTAGCTGAGGGCAGGGTTGTGGGGACACTTTAGTCTAGTGCAGACCTAGACACGCCTGTCCCAGTCCTACAAATAGCACAGAGCTTCCAACTTCTGCAACAAATGAGGCAGGGGGCCTACAGACAACAGTCTCCATTACTACACAGCCCTGACTCATGCCCAAAGCAAGTTCATTCTGGGCCCTGAATGAGATAAATAGGATCTGATCATGTCATTAAAGACTTATCATAATACAGATACACAAATGGACCGAATTAAGATTGCAGAGGCAGAAGGCAGCTCAGTCTGGAAAAACAGGTGTTGTTCTGCTTGGGCAGAAAGCCCCGGGCTCCTCTGTAACCAATGGGAAATTTTAAAGCCAGCATCCCCTGGCATAAATCCCTGAGGATGTGATGGCAATGCTGCCTGTCCTCCTCTGGGAGTGCATCCCCCTTAGAGTGCAACAATCCCCAGAGCTCAGGGAAGTGCAATTTTGAACTCCCTACAATGGGCAGGCT